GGGTGGTGGCCAAAAATTAGTTTGTGAACATGAATGTTTTGTCTGCTGTGGTTTCATGCTGGAGAAAGCCTCACATAGTTCCATTGTCTGCCACTGAAATGCTCCAGGGCTCATTCATTTCACAGAGGGAGAACTTCGTGTGGGTAGAACTGCTCCCTTCATTGAAGAGTGTGAAAGAGCATTGTAGTTTTTATCAAACTCTGTGTGTGTGTGTCAGAGGTCATTTAACTTTCAGTCAGTTGTACAGAAAGAATAATAAATGTTATTTTTTTTCTTAATGTGATTTTTCAAATGCTTATAGTGAGAAACCTACTGCATGTTTTTTTTTTCTAAATCTTAAATTCATTATCTTTTCATATAGGCCTTTAAGTCAAGGCTGGAGAAAGTTTGGCCTGCAATACTTTAGACTTCAACTCCTATTAGCTCATTAAAGGGTGAATGAGGAATTGTGGGAGTTGTAGTCCAGATCACCTGAAGGACCAAAATAAATCTTTCCACCTCAATTTAAATTATAGACCAAAGTACAATGAATCTATTTTTCACCTGTCTCCATGCAGCTGTAAAGCTTCTTCGGGCAGCTGATCGCATAAAGGACCAGACGCTATTTCTCAGTCAGATTTCACAAGAAGCCTTGCGGAGAACAATTTTCCCTCTAGGAGATTTAACGAAAGATTTTGTAAAGAAGATTGCCGCAGAACATCACCTTCACCATGTTGTACAGAGAAAAGAGGCACGGTAACACTTAACTACAGTACTCGGTGTTCAAACTCCTCATGAGGCAGTGCTTACTTAGTGCATGAAAACCAACTTTCTCAGTCATCATAGTAGCGTAGTATACAGAGCGATGTGTTCTGTTTATCAGTCATGGCCGTGCTCTTGGCATAATTATTTTAACGGGAATTATTATAATAACCCCCTTCATTTGTTGTTGCTGCACAAGGGAAGCCTATATTTTAGACAGTTCCAGTGGCACACAGGAGCTGAAATCCCCTTGGCTAGTGTAGTAAGTTGCAACTGGAGTAGGTCCATTGAATCTGTGGGGATCTGGTGAGTCAACTCCTCCATAAGTTCCATTGATTCATTGGGCCTATTCAAGTTGTGACTTGCTATACTAAGCAACAAGATTTCATCCATAGTATTGGGGGCAGAGTAGCAGCCTCTTCATGTGTTTCTACTCCTGGAGAAAAGCAAGTAGCATACTTTGATGTCTTTAGAAACATACTGCTTGTTCTTACTTCCCTCACAATAGAAGGCTACTTTATAGAGTGATATCCAAAGTAACAACCACTATATTTTTGGTGTCTGCCTTCCTACGACCATCACAGTGCAAACAGAGGGTAGAAAATAGAGGGCATTAACATGGCAGTGAACTGTACTGGCTGCCTGGACATAATTTTTGTGTATTTGCCCTTTACAAGATCAATGGAAAAAAATAAAAATACATAGCAGAAAAAAAGATAAAGCATTAAGCAATGACTGCTACTGGTATATCCCATATTTGACAGATTGTTGCAGAATTTCTTCTTTTGGAAAAATTTGGAGAACTTGTCCTCTTAGTTTTTCTGCTTAAACAGTGTGTGGAATATTGAGAGTCCATTTGTGCCCAGCTGTACTTTTCAGAAGCATTTCACTATCTGTATTTGTGGCACAGCTTGTGAACTATCTGTCATTACTCTTTTTTGGTGGAGAGACCATCATCTGTAAAATGTTTGTGCTGTGTATAAGTGATCATGTGATACACACATGCTCCATCATTCTATCTGGTGAAGCATAATTTTTTAATAGTTATATTTAATTGTTGCCTCGTGATTTAGTTGGTTTGTGTGTTTAATAACTTGTGAACTGCCTTGAGTTTCTTAATTGAGAGAAAAGTGTCATACAAATGAAAATAATGAAAATAAATAAAAGAGAGAAAGGTGTCGTACAAATGAAAATAATGAAAATAAATAAAAATCATAAAAATGTAGAAATAAACCTTTCCTATCAGGAATATGATAATCTCTTTAGGCTGGTCTTCCTAGTTTGTAGCAGTTGTTCAGATGCACCTCTAACCTAAAGCTGAATCCAGAGGATTTGCCAAAGACTGCTTTCTGTTTTATTGCACTCCCTGCCGGTTATATTCGTTTAATTTGCCTCTGGTACAACATGTGATCACACTTGGTTATTAAGAGAAAATATGAGATGATCTGATTAGTACTTATTGGACAGAATGCTGTTGGTGTTTATGTAAGTCTTGTATGACTTGCCATTGCTAAATGATGAGAGGCTGGAGTGCCTGATTACATACCTGATTGAGATGTGCCCCAGCACTTGATCAATTAGCTATTATTAGCTAGATCCAACTATGTAAGTCTTACATGAACAATGATAGGATTTTAGCCACTGAATTTGTATGTTGTCCTTTAAGCAAGGGTGCTTTGCTTGATTAACGTTTATTCCCCTCTCCAGCATACCTAGAATGGTAGTCAAAGTATCCATTCATTTGTTGTATTGCAGAGCATGGGGATCTGTTTCATCGGTAAAAGGAACTTTGAAAAGTTCATTCTTGAGGTGAGTAGTTATAGATTCTCAATGCAAATACAAATATGAGTGTTGTATTTATTATTTAAATGGTTTGGCATGGTTGGTTTTGTCAAGTGAACTGGGAATCGATATTACATAAGGAGTTTTCTCTTGTTATGTCTTATCTTGTAGTATTTAGAGCCACGTCCAGGCAATTTTGTTTCTATTGAAGACGGCAAGGTTCTTGGAAGGCACAAGGGTGAGTGGATATTTTATCATTCAGTTTTGCAGTGTAACAGAAAATGCTAACGTAGAGGTTCTTATCATGACATTCCTGTAGTTGCACTCCTGAGAGGGTGTCCAGAATCCAGGCAGTTGTGCTGATTCACATCTGTTTGTGTTTAGGGCATCTGTGAGTACTATAAATGAATTTATGTACCGTATGTATGCTAGTGCAGGGTTTTCCATGAGCCCTTTTATTCCCCCCCATACCACGAAGGAACACTTCTGACATCAGCAATTCAGTTCAGCGGGAGGGGTCATTTGAATAACTTGCATGTCTTAAGTGTCCACTCAAAGTTAAGCCATTGCACCATATGGAAGCCAACTTCCAGTTTAATATGGGTGAAGCCTCTAGAGGTCCCACTGTCTCCAGCTTGTTGTTGAAGCAGGAGATGGCCTCCGTTGATTCCAGTGAGGTGTAAGCCTCGGATAGGACTGAAAAGCCCCACAGCGTACAAAAGCACCCTTGTGCACACGGAACAGGGCAAAAGGGTTCTGCCCTATATATTTATTATCACCAGAGACAACTCCCAAAAATATGTTATTCCTGGGAGAATCTGTTAGGTTGCAATCAAGCTTAGTTGGAACAGGCTAAAGTTAAGAGAAGGATGGTAGGCAGTGTCAGTGTTCTGGTAGTTTCCCAGCATTTCAATTCTGTGAGCTTGCTTTTGCTACACAACCCCCATGCCCTTGTGTTTGGAATAATAGCTTTCTTTGAGCTTGCTTTTGTTACACCCGCCCCCATGCCCTTGTGTTTGGAATAATAGCCAGTTTTTTTTTTCTTTTGAAAGAAAAAAAAAGAAAATAAAAATCCTGCTGTGAAATGGGAAGATTTAGGGACCTGATTTTTCTAATTCTCTAATCCTGTATGTCCTGAGCATAGAGCAGGCTTAAAATGTTGCCCTTCCTGAGTTTTCCCATTTAACAGTGGGTTAGTGTTGACTCTGAGCTGCAACCTCTTTCAGAAGCACCACAGCTTCACATCAGGAAGTGAACTACTCTCCTGCTGCAGTCACTTGGTGTTTCATTAGCCACTGTACCATCAGGAAATGGTACTTCCTAAAGTTAACAGAATTTTGATCTTTTAATCCCCTTAAAAGTCAATGGCAAAACAGGATAAACATGAATGAGCTTAAGGCAGGAATCTACTAATTCCGGATATTAGATTAGACATGTGAAAAAAAGAGAAGAAGGGCTTTCAAGAAGAGAGAGAGTGTGTCATAAATGATGGACTTGTCCTCCAGCAAATTGAGACTTTTTGGAGGGGAAGGGATTCCACGGGGTAAGTCTGCCCTGTGTTTTCACCGGTCATAAAGAAAGACTGGGTGGCTTTCATTTTGCTAAGCATCGGGGTGGAGGTTTCCTGGGTAGAGACATCTGGTCTGGAAGTCTGTGCTTGGAGTTTCTCTAAGTAGCAGAGGGAGTTGCCTATACAGCAGTGCCCCGCATGACAACGATAATCCATCCCATTGAAATTGCTGTTTAGTGAAATCGTCATGCGAAATCCGTTTCCCCATTGGAATGCATTGAAACCCGTTTAAAGCGTTCCAGTGGGAAAAATACCTCGTCGTCCAGCGAAGATTGCCCATAAGGAAGCCATTTTGCGAGCGCCGATCAGCTGTAAAAATGGCTGTCCTGCGAAGCATGGGCCTGGAAAACACAGGGCAGCCATTTTGCGAAGCCAACGATTGTCGTCTTGCAAACAAACGGTTCACAAAGCACAGACCAAAACGTCGTCAAGCAAAAATCCACCATTGGAATGACTGTTTTGCGAATTGCTATAGCGATCGCAAAAAGCCATCATTATGCGGATTCATCGTCTTGCGAGGTACCATTGTATCTCAAATGGCTCACTTCTCATACAGTCATGGCCAAAAATATTGGCACCTTTGCAATTCTGACAGAAAATGAAACCCTTCTCTTAGAAAATTGTTGCAGTTGCAAATGTTTTGGTATTCACATATTCATTTCTTTGGTTTGCGTTGGAACAAAACAAAAAGCTGAGAAGAAAAGTTAAATCTGATACAATCCCACACAGAAACCTAAAAATGCACTGGCCAAAATTATTGGCTCCCTGTCTAAATTGTAAGAAATAATGATGCTCCTTTAATTTGTATTTAGACACACGCGTCGCAAGTAAGAGGTATGGGTAATATAGTTATCACACTTGCAGCCAATTAAGATGGAGGAAAGTTGACTCAACCTTTGTGCTGTGTGTGACACTGAGCATGGAGAAAAGAATGAAGTGTAAAGAGTTGTCTGTGGATTTGAGAAAGATATTGTGGAAAAACATCAACAATCTCAAGGCTACAAGTCCATCTCCAGAGATCTTAATGTCCCTGTGTCCACGGTGCGCAATATCAAGAGGTTTATGGCCCATGTAGCTAACTTCCCTGGACGTGGACAGGACCCAGGAGGACACCATTGTTAACACAAAGGCATAAAAAAAGCAAGACTGGAGTATGCCAAAACTTATGTGACAAAACCACAACCCTTCTGGGAGAATGTACTGTCAACAGATGAGACGAAAGTAGAGCTTTTTGGTCAAGGACGTCATGGCACTGTTTACAGAAAAAAAATTGAGGCATTTCAAGAAAAGAACACAGTACCTACAGTCAAACACGGTGGAGGTTCAAAGATGTTTAGGGTTTGCTTTGCTGCTTTTGGCACTGGATGCCTTGACTGTGTGAATGGTATCATGAAATCTGATTATTACCTAAGAATTTTGGGGTGCAACGTAGTGGCCAGTGTCAGAAAGCTGTGTCTCCACCAGAGGTCATGGGTCTTCCAGCAGGACAATGACCCGAAACACACTTCAAAAAGCACTCAGAAATGGTTACAAGCAAAGTGCTGGAGAATTCTGAAATGGCCAGCAGTGAGTCCAGATCTGAATCCCATAGAACACCTGTGGAGAGATCTCAAAACCGCAGTTGGGAGAAGGCATCCTTCATATCTGAAGGCCCTGGAGCAGTTTGCAAAAGAAGAGTGGTCCGAAATTCCAGTAGAGTGGTGTAAGAAACTGATTCGTGGTTACAGAAAGCAATTGATTTCAGTTATTTTTTTCCAAAGGGGGTGCTACCAAATATTAAGTTAAGGGTGCCAATAATTTTGGCCAGTGCATTTTTGGCTTTCTGTGTGGGATTGTACCAGATTTGAGTACCAAAACATTTGCTACTGCAACAATTTTCTGAGAGAAGGGTTTCATTTTCTGACAGAATTGCAAAGGTGCCAGTATTCTTGGCCATGGCTGTAGACTGCAAGATGGACTGCATAGGTGTAAAATGTTTAAAAAGCAGAGGCTTATCTCTTCCTTAGGAAAACATGATGCAGTCATATTACTTTTCTGATACAGTGGTCCCCAACCTTTTCCTAACCACGGACTGGTTGTGGGGGCAGAGTTCATGCGCAGGGGGGCAAGGCACTCCTCACATATGTGGGGAGCAGGGGCACGCATGCATGTATGGGGGTGCATTTGTGGGTAGGCAAGGCATGCTTGCAGGGGCACACTTGCGGGGGCACTCCTGTGCATGCACGGGGGTCAGGGAGTGTGTGCAAGGGTGATAGATCTGTCTCCACAGCCCAGTCCTGCCAGGGGACGGCCCTCTACCGGGCCACGGACCAGGGGTTGGGGACCCCTGCTTTAGATGATGAAAATAGTTACTTTTTAGTAATAAAAAAATTCATATCGACATGTTACAAGCTAAATACATGTACTAAATACAAATGTTGTACCTGTGGTACAAAACATCCTGAAGCAGTGAGGTTGGAAACGCTGATATAACTATGAAAGTAACTTTTAAAAAAATCAACACAGTTACATTATAAAATAAATTAAGGCATATTTCTCTAATGTTTATTCCTTCAGCACAGATCTGTAGAAAAATCTAACAAACAGTATGATAGCAGTAAAATATAGGAGACTAGTTTCCTTTCATCTTTCACTTCTGATGTCTTTGTGATCTGATTAAGACATTGTATTCTGGGTTAAAAAGCTGTCAGAATTCTTTTAATGAGAAGTTGTCAAGTAGTTGAAGTTGCTTATATAACAATCTATATAATAATTCCTGTTACTGAAATATAGCAATATCCTCCCAACAGCCACAATTGCTTCACAAAATAAGCTTCAGATGACCAGGATGTTCCCTCTAGTACCATCATATTTACGGCTGCTTTTCTTAGAACGCATGGTTCCAAAGGTCCAGAAAAGAGCAAGTGCCTAATCCTCACTCTGCCTTGTCCAATCTAGTATCTTCAAGCTCTGTGTTGTCCTTCAGTTCTCCTCCAGGGCTAATCTGATTAAGGAATAACCAATGTATACGAAGATGCAGAGTTGAAAATAAAATAAGTTTTTGCTTCTAAGTTTGGTGTGACCATTGGTTACCATGCCCAACATTGTTCAGTGCATATCTGCAGTTTGATTTCTGTGACAGGCAATAAAATCTGTGAATAAAAGCTTCCTTGTTATTCTAAGAAATTGAAGACATGTTAGTTGATATGTGGCCCTTTAACATTCATACATTCATCCCTCAGAAGTTTAGGAAGAAGTAATATGTTATTACTCCCTACTACAATATATAACATGTAGTAATCTGTTTTCTATTAAAAGGAGACAAATTATGATTTACTTGAGCAAAAGATTAAGGAATGTTTACAGTCTGATGCCTGTAATTTGAATTTTTTAGGCTTCTTTTTGTATACATTTGGCCAGGGAGCCAAGATAGGAGGCCTCAAAGATGCTTGGTTTGTTGTAGATAAAAATATTGCCTCTGGGGATGTCTTTGTGGTAAGTTTGTTCATACTTCTATTGTTTGTCATTCCTGTTGAAGAGAACATTCTTATTGTTCGCCCAAGATTTTCAACTTTTGCATACAAAAGAGAAAGAAAAGGTGTTAAGTATGTTGGCGATGAGATGTTTTATTACATCTTGTTGAAATTGGCTTTTGATTAACAGAAAATTGAAGAATGATGTTGGCATTTAGTATCTTAACAAAGGCACTGAAAGAGATCCCACAATTTTCTTACACTGAATCCATTGAACTTCCATCTTGAAATGTATTTTGGTTAGTCTTGCCTAAAAACTTATAGTATGTCATTGATCAACATTTGGGACCTAATATTTAGGTACAGTAACTGCTATGCATCATAACCTGTTCATGTGAAGCTAAATGTTTAACTGTATTACCTTTTTTTCCTCATAATTTCCCTGTTCATGTAAATAACGCATAAGTAGGACTCAAATTTTGCTTTCAGCCTAGTTTAAATCCCCATATGTGTAGAGAAACCATGGTTCAGCAGCTAAGGCTTTCTCTCACATCTCTGGATGGCATTTGTAGAGTGACACACAGAAGTTCATAGTAAAGGGCAGTCTGAATGTTGTCAACACCAATGGCAGCAGTCAAGATGGTCCACATGATACTCTTGGGTCCTCACAACCATTCACACTTGTCAAAAAAGCCATGGCAATTGTTTTGTGTTTGGTTGAGAAGTGGTTAACTGATGAAAAAGGAGTCCGGTTATAGGATTTTTCCTTTGCTTGATGTCACTTGTGAATACTACCAAGCACAAAGAAGATGTTTTGTAGACCATTGTGTTGTCAACATTAAGGCTGGCCTTTGTTATGTAAAGCTTGGCATCCTTTTTCCTGCTGGCTTTGTGGGCAAGATATTGTGGAGCAATATAGGACTATTTCCTGAATACAGAAGCACAATATCCCACATTCATAAACTGGATTTAGAAGAATCAAATTGAACTTCTCTACCAAGATAGGTCATTGTCTTCTCAAAATTCAGTATAATCTCAGTTTTGTTCTTTCGGAAATCAATACGGTTTTATGGATTCAAGACCATAATGTTCTCCCAGTCACAAATTTGTCTGAAAATGGCATCGTTAAACGTGAGGCATTTTTAAAGTGTCTGAGACATGAATATCACAATCTAAAATATGTAAAAATGCAGAATTACTGCTCAATACAATTTTTTGTAAATATATCTACTGTGTTGTTCATTGGTCAGTGAAACAATGACTGCAAAGTGTTTTGAATATATTGTATATATAGGATAGAAATGCCAAGCAGTAATCTCTTTTTTAAATTCTGTGTGGATCTTGGGGTCTTGGCTTGTTTTGCTTTCTCATTAGAACTGATGCTGTTTGCCCAGTGCCAATGTGACTGAGTCCTTCACTGGTGTTAACAATGCTGAGTTTGTGCCCTGAAATAGTTGTACCTGTTGTGTTAAGGCTCCTTCCAGAGACCACCCAGCACTGTATAGAGATGTCTTGCGGACAAATAGAGTGCACTGGATTGCAGATGAACCGCCCGCTGAGCTGATTCGGGACAAAATGATGGAGTGTTATTTCCGCTTCCAGAGCCAGATGGCGTTAGGTGATTGGATTTTGTTAACACAGCTTTTAGTGGTAGAGTCTTTTCGTTTTCATAAGAAAAGGCAAATATTATTGCATATTGATATTTATTAAGATTAGAGAAAGTCTCTTAATTTTGATGAGAATGCAATTGCTAGAGATTTAACTTCTTTTTATTTTATTTTTTCAGTGCCCTGCACATTAACATTAAATCAAGATGGGACAGTATGGGTGACATTGGTCAAACCATTAAGGGCTCTTATGCCAGGCCAGGTATGTCCTGAGGTCACTTTAATGTCTGCTTCTCTTTTTAAATTTGCAAGCATATTGATATTGTAGAAGCATATGGGGGCTCATTTCCTATGTAACAGTCTGAATGCTGAGTCTTTTGCACGGGGGCTCATTTCCTAGTAAGTATGCTTCAGATAGCAGCCTTTACCATGTAACAGTCTGAATGCTGAGTCTTTTGCAGAGTTTTTTTAAAAATAGACAATAGATTCAAATTTTTAGGTTTGGCACTATCTTAATTGTGATACAGTTTGATTTATTAGTCAGATACATTGGAGTGAGGAAGAAGTATCAGAGGTAGGATTTTACTCATATTTCAGTGCTAATTTGTGAATTTACCAAGTTTATATAGCATAAGCTGAGGTTTACAGGAAGACTGCCAACAATTTTATCTCATACCCAACACCAGATTATGTCAATATTTTACTAGTATGATCAGTGAAATAGCACCAGATCACTATTCTTTTAAAGATTTGTAGCCTAATTCCTGTGGATCTTTATTTATAAATTTAGTGGAACCTACTCTCTTACATAAATGATGATGAAAGAGGGGGTTTAGCTCAGTCATTGAGCACATGCATTCTACATAGATATTCTCAGATTCTCTCATGGATCCTCCAGAAGAGGGTCTCAGGTGGGAAAGGACCAAGCAGTTGCTAGACAGAATATATGTTTTTAGACCTTGGAAAACATGCATTTAGAAATGGATAAATAGGCTAAAGTGGTAGTCTTTGCCTACCTTCAGATGCATTCCCATCCCACAGCTAGAGGAGTAACTGTAGCATGGAAGGTCCTGGCTTTTCATAACTGGCAGGAACCAGTTTCCTTCCGAAATCTTGAGAGGGATGTGGAGATATTCAGGCATAGGATTGCAGACATCCGATCCTTTGGTTTCTAGCTAGATTGCTTTGAGCCGCCACCACCCTGCCCTCAAAACTACGAGTTTCAGAGTATGCAGACTTTGAAAAAAAGTAACGTACAACACAGCATGAAACATGGGGTGCGCTACTGTACTGCTTAAGGGAAGTGACACAGCTTGTGCATAGGTGGTCTCCTGTATTTTTACTGAGATTAGTGTGGTAAACATTTTAGTTTATATTCCAGGGTGCAATTGAATGGTATCTTCATAGGCACTTATATCAAAGGAAAAATAAATTTAATGTAATTCTTGTTTCTGAAATAAGTTCAAGTGGAATGCAACATTTACCTTTAAAAAAACTATTTGGCATATTGTATGTATACAGATTGATCACTACCAGAGTGGTAAGGTGTGACATGGACACTGTGTTTGCTTGTCCCCTTTCAGTGTGTTTATGTTAGTTGTAAACAGGCTCCCTGCTTGCCTTTCAGTTTGCCGTTTTCTACAAGGGTGACGAATGCCTGGGCAGTGGGAAGATTTTGCGTTTGGGCCCATCAGTGTACACTTTGCAACAGGGCAACCCTGGAGAAAAGAGGGTTAGAGAGTTGCCAGCTGATGAGATCAAGATTGAACCACTCACGTGATTGTTTGCTTTCTTAACCAAAGTCTGGCTCAAAGACTTCACATTAAAATCCAAATGGTCTTACAGGCAAGAGAAGACAAAATGATGTAAATCTGGGCAGACTTGCTTGGGACATTTTCATACTGTAAATTAAGATGGTTCTCTAGAAGTCTGTTTTTAAAATATGAAAATATTTTTGATACAGTGGATAACTTTATTTTGGTAAGACACAATCCAAAACTGTCACATTTACAGCCGAATATTGCCCATGTTTTCACACAGAATTAAGACTTGCTCAGCTGAGTGAACCCTTACCTCCAGACATTGGGAGGGGGGGAGATTGCAGCCCAGATTACATGAGCATGAAGTTTAGACCTGGACGTAACCTTGCTATGTTTTTAAAGTAGGATTTACCGTATTTTTCGCTCCATAAGACATACCTCTCTATAAGACGCCCCAAATTTTTAGGAGAAGAAAACAGGAAAAAATAACGTTTTCTTCTCCTAAAAATTGGTGAGCCTTATGGAGAGGTCCATCTTATGGAACACACCCTAGGACCCTTTGGAGGCTTCCCCTGCCCCCCCAGGGGTCAGAGGGGGC